CCTATTAGCTGACATGGTAAAACCAAGAAGATATTTCAAGCTCTGGTGCATCATTATTATTTCTCTGACTGCAGTTATTTTTTGCTGTTGGACTCTTATTGCCAGATAAGTGTCTACACCTAGAAGTGAAGGGAAATTTCCTGAGAAGGTAGATTACTGACAGAAGTGGAATTCATGGAAATGTGTGATTAGGGACCTAGATTGAGAGAGAGACAAAAAATGGGATGGTAGGGAGAAAAGAAGTACACATAACTTTACCCAATCAACCTAAGACCAACATCTCACCAACTTGTCATCTCACAAAGTCAGATTTAAGGGCCTGTTGCAACAAGGAGGTCTGCACAACAGAGGAAATAGGAGCATCTCTGTGAACACAAGGAAAAAAGTAGAGTTAGACAATTTGGGGAGTGTGGATTTTCGGCAAAAATTAAATGAAGCAGCATTTAGATCAACTCAAAGCAAACCAGAATGTGTGTGAAGAGGTCAATGTCATCTCCAGACTGTGGGGTAGACCCAAGTATTTGATTCCTTAAAAGTTACATTTGTGATGGTCAACAAACACATGTTAAAAATCCCTAGCTCTAGGAGAGATACAAATCAAAACAACTATGAGATGTCATCTTACCCATGTAAGAATAGCAAAATTTAATAGAACATCAAACATCAAATGCTGGCGAGGTTGCGGAGAAACTGGAACTGTTATTCACTGTTGGTGGGAGTGTAAAATGGTGCGACCACTAATGGAAGGCTTTATGGCACTTTCTCAAAAAGTTGGAAATAAAATACCATTTGACCCAGCAATTCCACTACTGGGAATTTACCCTAAAGAAACCATAACTGCCACGCAAGCAGATATATACACACCCATGTTTATTGTGTCTTTGTTCACAATAGCAAAGAGTTGGAAACAACCCAAGTGCCTATCAACACACGAATGGATAGAGAAGCTGTGGTATATTCACACAATGGAATACTATGCAGAATTGAAAAATGAGGAACTCATGAAATATTATACAAAATGGGTGGCCCTGGAGGACATTATGCTGAGTGAAATATCTCAGTCACGAAAGGACAAATATTGCATAGTATCACTGTTGTAAAATGGGACTGAGATCGGGTTTAAGGGGAGACCGAGAAAGAGGGGATAAATAATGTATACTGCATTGAAACAGATGAGGGAGATAACTGTTTAAAAGGGATATGAGATTAGGTATTATTATCATGACAGGAGTCCAGAATGAAGGCTGCATAGTGGAGTGGACTTGGGGGCAGAGGGACTGTATAACAATTAAAGAATTTTTCTTTTACTTTTCAAAGAGAAGAGTGACTTGGAGGGTGGGCAGGGAGAAAAGTGCAACAATGAATAAATGGAAGTCCAAAGTCATTGTAAACTTTCATTAAAATGAATTAAAAAAAAGTTACAGTTGCAGTAGTGGAATGTTGTATTCAAAAACTCCTCTGAATAGTGCAACAATGAATGAATGGAAACCCAAAATCTCTGTAAATGTTTATGAAAATTAATAAAATATAATTATAGAAAAAAAAAAACTCCTCTGAGTGGTATGAATGGCTAACAGGATATTAGAAGTTTGCTTCTACCCAGAGGCATCTTGGAAGAAAGGCCTGACAATCTATTTCCAAAATATTGTTGTTGTTGTTATGTGCCATTAAGTCACTCATGACTCATAGCGACACTATGTACAACAGCTCTGAACCCTGCTCTGATATGTGTCAACCTTATTGTCTCTGACACATCTACCCCCACTACCCTAGTCACTGAGTAAATACATCTCATCCAGGATCTTCCTCTCTTATGCTGTCCCTCCACCCTCTCAAGCATGATGTCCCTCTCCAAGGACTGGTCTCCCTTTACAACATGCTGAAAATATATCAGATGGAGCTTCAGAATCCTTGCCTCCAAGGATCATCCTGGTTTCACCCTCTCCAGGACGAGCCTGTTTGTTCTCCTAGCAGTCCAGGGTATATTCAATATTCTTCTCCAGCATCACAGCTCAAAGGCATCAATTTTCCTTCTATCCTCCCTAATCATTGTCCAGCTTCCTGATGCATAGCAAGTAATTGTGAAAGCTCTGGCCTGGATCAGGCGCACCTTAGTCTCCAGACTGACATTGGTGCTCTTCAGTACTCTGGAGAGGTCCCTGACAGCAGAATTTTCTTACCCAATTTGTCTTTTGATTTTCTGGCTGCTGGTGCCATGAGTGTTGATTGTGGAGCCAAGGAAGTTGAAGTTGTTAACAATCTCAATCTCTTCACTATCTATCATGATGCTTCCAATTGACCCAGTGATGAGAATCTTTGTTTCCTTGATGTTGAACTTCAATCCAACCAAAACATTAGCCATTGAAAACCCTACAGAGCATAGTCCTGCTCTGATGTGAGTGGGTTTGTCATGAATCAGCATTGCCAATCATTGGTAAAGTCACTGAAAGTGGATCTGTCACTCAAAGAAGCAGACTGTTAGAACAGATCCTTAGGGAAAATATTATTTCCTGTTATTTTGAGGCTGAATTGATCTTTATTGTTATCTGATTTTTAACAACACATAATAAAATAATTTTTCTTTCTCAATAGGAGAGGGGGAAAGAATGGATAATAAGATATTGAATAATGAAGAACAGAAGGAAAGACAGCATGAGTTCAAATGAAAAAGAAGTGTGCTCTGAAGGGCAGTAGAAGTAACAATATAAAGAAAAGGGTGCCTTTTATGAAATAGCTGGCAACCATAGTACTACAGAAAGACTCTCTAGAGAATGATGAATGTTTGGACTCCAACCATTTTCCACTTTCCACTTCCTCAGCCATTACAGATATCACCACATCCACTAGGGTGGAGAGTGAAAGGACCTCTTTTTCCTCTCCTGTGGTCTTACATAAATGAAAAAAAAAGAAATATTACATTCTCTAGGTTCCTCTGCCAAACTAAACCAACTTACCGCCATCAAGACCATTCCAACTTGTGGTGCGTCTCCACTGGGCTTCCAAGGCTGTTTATCTTTATGGCTCATCTTTCTCTCATGAAGCAGCTGGTGGATTTGAACCACTGATCTTTTGGTTAGCAGTGCAACACATAATACTCTACACGATCAGAGCTCCTTGAGGTCTTCCTAGCACAGCTCAGATAGACTGGAAATTTCGAAACAGTTTACAAATCACTAAGGGAGGATAATACCCCTAGAGTGAATTTAAGCCCCAGACAGGCAAGGAGCTGACAGGCTTCTGAGATAGGAGTCCTCTGTAGTTTTCTGTGCCGGTAAATGCCAACGACAGCTTTCAGCTGCATTTCTGAGTTTAATTTTTTTTTATCCTAGTTGTGGTTGCTATTTTTCTCTTGCTTAGCAGACAGTAACAGAATGGGTTGCTATTACAAAGGTTGGAAGTTTGAACCCATCCAGCAGCCCTGTAGAAGAAATGAATAGCACAACCAAAGGGTTGGACACACACACACACACACACACACACACACACACACACACACACTATTACCATTAAACCCACAGCTGTTGAGTTGATATTAAATCATAGTGACTATAGGGTACAGTAGAACAGCCCCATAGGGTTTCCAACTTTATAAATCTTGACAAAAGAAGACTATGTGAGTAACACAATATAAATCTAAACCCCAACAAACCAGCCAAAGCAGTTTTCATCTGCTCCACATGGTTTTCAAAGGTGTGACCTTTTAAAAGCAGATCACCACACCTTTCTTCCTAGGCACTTTTTTAGGTTAGTAGTAAGAACTTAAGTCTCTGTACCACCCAAGGACTCCGATACAACGAAAGACTGCCAGTGTCCTGAGAAGCGCTGCTCCTTAGATGTAGAAAGTGAGCTTATCCTTCTGCAAGCCTAACAGTATGTATGCGTGACCTAATCAAGGCACAGAACAATCCCCACAGTGTTCACGTAGACACAAGTGCAATAATAGGGAAGACTGTTGTCTCAGAGAAAGAAAGAAATGAGAGGAAGAGTCATTAATGTCATATACAACATTTAGAAATGAATCAAAAGAGAGTTGAGAGATAAAAATTACTGATTTTTTGAGAGCATTATGCTAAGTGAACGAACTCAATTCTATAAGGACAAATACTATATAAGACCATTATTTTAGAATATATAGGAGGATCCAAGGGGGAAGGGTGAGAGCAGAGGGGTGAGGATGGGTAGGGGTAGGGGTAGTGGAAGTGGTTAATCATAGGATTGCACAATTTGATTTGATAAGAAAAGGAAATGGGAAAGATCCAGTGTAAAAATAATGCATACAAACTTTGTAAGTAAACCAGTATAAAATAAAAAATTTATTTTAAAAATTGGTGATTTTTGAAAATGAAAAAATGGTGATACAAAAAAAAGGATTAAATGATTAATTTTTTTTTTCTCTTTCAGAGGCATTTTTCTTCTTCTGGAAAAAGAGAGGCACTTATAGTCCTTATAAATACCCTAAGACCTCAGTCTGAACCTGGAATCAGACTTGATCTCTGGAAAGTACCCCAGCCTGGAAAACAGACGGTTTCTTGGAGACAGATTTGGGACCAGACCTAGAGAAACATTTGACCTGCAACATGAAGTGGGCCATGTTGTGCGCTGTGAATTGGACCACAGCAGTGGAAGTGGGTATGAAATGAATCCTGATAGGAAGAATGAGTGTGGAAAAGATCTTAAGAATAGCCTTGAAGGGAGCTCTGGTGGCCTAGTGGCAAGAAGCTGCACTGCAATTCTAGAGGTATGAGGTTCGAATCCACCAGATGCTCTGCTGGAGAAGGAGGGGCAATCTCCTCCTGTACTAGTCAGATCAGATTTGATGGTACATGCACAAAAAAGAATAAAAAAAAAAACCCAAACAAAACTCTAAAAAACAAATAGCCTTGGAATGGATTATATAGGAAACCACCAAAGTGGAGAAGGAAAACATGACAGTGTTCATAGATCAGATAATGGAGAACACCTTGAAAACGGAGACGGAGATATTAATGAGAAGGAGGATCATGGGGAAGGAGACAGTGATCATAAAGTGGGTTAAGAGAGAATTTCAAAAGGTCATCATGTATTAGCTGTAGACAAAAATGATCAGGATCCATATGAAAGAAAGAATCAGGGAAACAGAATTTGATCAACAGGGCATCTAGATAAACAGAGAATGGTTCTGGTGGAGATCAATAGCCTCATAAAATTTGGACATGATCCCAAGTGAAAATATTCCCTAAGTCTAACCCGTGCTCAGATCCTCTTAGAGAGGTCACAGAACAGCTTCTCTTTAATCCTCCAACATTCAAGTCATGCCCTATGGCCTTCAGGCTTCAGTTTTCTACTACTCTTCTTCCCTCTACCCTCACTCCCTACAATGCAACACGACCAGCAAGAGGGAATGATATCAATACAACTTAAAAATAAGTCCTGTAATATATAAGGATGATAGAAAGAGAATTGATGCCTTTGAGTTGTGGTGCTGGAGAAGAGTGTTGAATATACCATGGACTGCCAGGAGAACAAACAGGTTCATCCTGGAGAGGGTGAAGCCAGAATGTTCCTTGGAGTTAAGGATTCTGAAGCTTTGTCTGACATACTTTGTGCATGTTGCAAGGAGGGACTGGTCCTTGGAGAGGGACATCATGTTTGTAGAGTGGAGGGGCAGTGAAGGAGGGGAAGACCTTTGATGAGATGGATTGATTCTGTGACTGGAGTGGTGGGAATAAGTGCGTTTGAGATGGCTAGGTTGGCACAGGATAGAACAGCGTTTAGAGCTCTTGTACATAGGGTTGTTATGAGTTGCAAATGACTCGATGGCACATAACAACAAACAACAACAACAATATATTTGGTAGGGAGCTCTGGTGGCCAGGTGGCAAGTTGTGCTGCAATCCCAAAGGCACACCGACTGTTCAAATCTACCAGCTGGGAGAAGGATGGGCAATCCTCTTCTGTGTGATTAACTGCTTCTGAAAACCCGCTGGAGGGTCTACTATGGGTTGGTTCTAACTCTATGGTACACAACAACAATATATTTGGTAGCTAGACTTCATGCTTATTTGTTCATCTGATTAGACAGCTTCTCTTCGCTTTTCCTATTAAATGTCAAATATTGTACTAAATTATTTTAACTATATTCTCCCTTTTTTCTTTTCTTTTCTTGTTGTGTACTATCGAATTGGATCTGACTGGCACAGGAGGAGATTGCCCCTCCTTCTCCGGTGGAGCATCTGGTGGGTTTGAACAGCATACCTTCAGGATTGCAGCACAACTTCTTGCCATTAGGCCAACAGAGTGCCCTAAATTACTTTAAATATACTCTTATTTAATAATCCAAACACTGCTTTGAGAACATCCACTTCTAATAACATAAAAGACAACATACTTTAATCAAGCCTTTCAGTGAAATAAATAAATATTGCTAAATAAAAACATTGTAAAATATCTAGAACTATATCAACTAACAGGAAAGATAGCAAGTAGTATTTAGAGCAAAAACTTAGATGACGTAGAAACTCAAAGAGGTTTAAGGAGAGCTCTGACCAACCTTTGTTTTGAAGGTATTTGTTAAATCTTGTAAATTTAAGCTTGCTGTCTCATAGCTTCTCAATATCTGGGTTTTTTGTTGTTACTAGTTGCCATCAAGGCAATTCCTACTCCAGGTAACCCCATGTGTGTAGAGTAGAATGGTTTTTTTAGATTTCAAGGTTGTGATTTTTCAGAAGCAGATCACCAGATCTGTTTTCAGGCACCTCAGAATGAGTTTGAACAGCTAGCCTTTTAACTAGTAACCATGCTCTGAACCATTTGCATCATCCAGATTTGTGCTCAGTGTAGAGGTGAACAAATATTCAGTGGCTGCTAAATGGGTGGAATCTAATGATAGAACCTAAATAAAACTAACACTTAAAGGATTAAACTTTCAGTATATTATTCAACGCTAATAAAAGTATGTTGCCCACCAAGCACATCATGAATTATGAGGAAATTGTCAGTCTCTAAACTTTCCAACTGTAAATAGAAAGAATTTATCATAAAGAAACAAACAAAACATTTAAAAATAGATTAAAAACCTCAAACCCACAGACTTACATAAGAAGTACAGTAAGCTCTAAGCAAACACAAGAAATGAAAGACAATGTACCAGGAGGCAAAACCTAGTACATCAGGAAAGCATTCAGATTCCGGGAAAGCAGAGTAATCTATCTATCTATCTATCTATCTATCTATCTATCTATCTATCTATCTATCTACCTATCTAATATATAATATATAAAATATAAATATGTAATATATAATAATATATAATAAATATATCACATATAAATATATATAAATACATAGATATATATAGTATCTTCAAAGCAGTAAAAATTAAGATAGCATCTTACTTCTCAGTTACAATAGCAGGAAGCAAAAGACAGCAAAATAATAACTTCACTGTATCGAGAAAATATCCTCAACCTGGAAATACAAATTTAGTAATGATATCTTTTAAGATAGAACAATTAATCATACAAGACCAAAAGGATAGCACTGTCCAGGGATGAAACTCAGAAACCTGGAAGGAATAGGGAAAGTTGGAAAAGGAAAACTCAGGGAAGAGGTGTGATGAGTGCTGTTACGTTGTGGGGATTATAATCAATGTTATTAAACACTGCATGTTTTTAAAGTATTTATGAATTGTTTAATGAAAAACTAATTTGCTTTGTAAATTCTAACCCAAATCACAATAAAAAATTTTTGAAAAAAACGTCTCTTACAATAATGAGACACAGCAGGCACATTTAAAAAGAAACATAACCCAAAGAGACTATGCCACAAATTGATCATCTGTAAAGAAAATAAGGGGGACATGAATTACTTGCTGCAGATCAGACTACAACCTTAAATGTGGATTCCCAAGCTTCAATGTGGATTCCATCTTAACATCAAGAAAAAAAAATCCTCACTGGACTTGTAACATGATAATAGATGGAGAAAAGATTGAAGTTGTCAATAATTTAATATTATTTGGATCCATAATCAACACACTTTTTACCAGCAGTCAAGAGGTCAGGAGACTTATTGCAATTGGCAAGTCTGCTGTCAGGGACTTCTCCAAATAGTAAGGAGCAATGATGTCAGTTTGAAGAATAAGGTGCATCTCATTTACTCAATAGTCTTTTCAATCACTTGCTGTGCATCTGTGTCTAAAGGGCAGAAAATGGTACCTTGGGGCACAGGGCTGTGAGTATCTCTCTGAAAGGGCCAGAGGGAATGAAAACAGCACAGCTCCTTACCATTCCAGAGCAGAAAGCAGTTATAAAAACTTTGTAGCCCAGCACCATGGTCCTCTAGAGCCACACCACAGCAGCAAGAGGTTTGTTTATTCATTGTTGATTCTCAGAAAGTGGGGTTTATTAGGGAAGTAAGTTGGAGAGTGGGGGAAAGCAAAAAAAAAAAAAAAAAAGGTCACCCAATACATGTTCAGGTTTTAGCCTGGCATTCCCAAGGAACAATTCCTAGGCTAGTCCAGACTCAGGTTTCTCCAC